TTTTTTTTTTTTTTTGCAGACTCGAGCTTCGTACCACCTTTGATATATTCTGTTCTTGGGAGTTCTAAGCATCTTGCAGTCGGTCCTGTCTCGATAGCTTCTCTAGTCATGGGCACAATGCTCAGTGAGTCGGTTTCTTACAGTGAAGAACCAATTCTTTACCTTCAGCTCGCTTTGACAGCCACTTTTTTCGCTGGACTATTTCAAGCCTCCCTCGGTTTTCTAAGGTATTCTACTGCGAAAATTTAATGGTTTTTCTAATTTTTAGAAACAATAATTATACTAAAGTTAAGTAATTCCAGGCTAGGATTTGTTATTGACTTTCTCTCAAAGGCAACTCTAGTTGGCTTCATGGCTGGTGCAGCAGTCATTGTCGCATTGCAACAACTGAAAGGGCTATTCGGGATAGTCCATTTCACGAGCAAGATGCAACTAGTTCCCGTGTTGTCATCTGTCTTCCATCACAAAGATGAGGTAGAATATAATTGTATGGAATTTGGTATAAAAAGATCGATCAGAATTCTATTCTCTAAGTTACGGCCTTATTGAGTTATCGTTCTATTTGAGACCACGTTGAGTCTTCAATATTCTGATATCAGTTAGCAGTAGAAACGCCAAAAACGCTCTTCTAAAGTAGTTGAAGAGCATTTATGATATGTTTAGCATGCTGGATTTCAAACGTGGATCTGATTTCTTTCATTTCAAACATGTGCAGTGGTCCTGGCAAACAATTGTTATGGGAGTTAGTTTTCTAGTCCTGTTATTGACAGCAAGGCAAATTGTAAGCGTTCGTGATCACTCCAAAGTATATTGATGTTCGCGTAGATTTTATTTCATTTGTTTATTATAGTTGCGGTTTTAATCATTGAATGCAGAGCATTAGGAAACCAAAACTCTTTTGGGTTTCAGCCGCTGCCCCATTAGCATCAGTCATTCTGTCTACAATTCTCATCGTCTGCCTTAAATCCAACGTTCATGGGATTCACACAGTATGAAATGTTAATTTTTTAGGAATTTCGATTCAATTTTATATGATTATTGATGAGAAATGTTCGACCTATTCTTTTCATTGTGCGTTATTTGAAAATCTTTATTAATTTCAACAGATTGGACACTTGCAAAAGGGTCTAAATCCCCCGTCGTTGAACATGCTGTTTTTCCATGGCCCTCATCTGGCTCTTGCAATGAAAACCGGTATTGTAACCGGAATATTGTCTCTGACAGTGAGTTTCTTTCTACATCTTTGCTACTTTATAATACTCAGTTTATAATGTGCTTACGTGTATGAAAACGATATAACATATCTCTATCATTTTGTGCTGTTCTGTAGGAAGGGATTGCAGTGGGAAGAACATTTGCGACTCTAAAGAACTACCAAGTCGATGGGAATAAAGAAATGATGGCTATTGGCCTCATGAACATGGCCGGATCCTGTTCATCATGCTATGTCACCACTGGTAACAATCTCATTTTCATTTTCAAATTCTTCCCTCGATCACCTAGTCATCGGAAGAAGACAGCTTTGTGTAAAACTGAAGCATGATTTATTCTTACAGGATCATTTTCACGATCTGCTGTGAACTATAATGCTGGAGCGCAATCTGTAGTGTCCAATATAATAATGGCGACAGCCGTGCTTGTGACTTTGTTGTTTCTCATGCCATTGTTCTATTACACTCCCAATTTCATCCTGGCAGCAATTATCATAACTGCTGTCATTGGCCTAATTGATTATTGGGCTGCTATTCGCCTATGGGGAGTCGACAAACTTGATTTCTTAGCTTGTATGTGTTCCTTTCTCGGGGTTCTTTTCATTTCCGTGCCTATTGGTCTTTCTATAGCAGTAAGTCTCTCTTCATAAATTCATTGAAAAACTTTCCTTTTTTCCGTGAAATATACTAATCTAGATTATGATCAATGAATTTCAGATTGGAGTTTCAATTTTCAAGATTCTCTTGCACATTACAAGGCCAAACACAGGCGTTTTGGGGAACATTCCCGGTACTCAAATATATCAAAACCTTAACCGATACAGAGAAGCTGTTAGAGTACAGTCTTTCCTTATACTTGCAGTCGAAGCTCCTATTTACTTTGCAAATTCTACTTACATACAAGAAAGGTACAAACTTTCCTGCAGGGTTTACATTTTTAAACACGGTAAATATTTCCGTGTTCTAAATGACTAATCGGAGAAATTAACGGTTATAGGATATTAAGATGGATTAGAGAAGAGGAAGAATGGATTGAAACCAACAGCAGAAACAGAATGAAATGTGTAATTTTGGATATGACAGGTCAGTCAAGAAAACATGGTCTTTTCTTTCTCTTCTTTCTTCTTTTCGGGTCGGGGATACTGACGATATTGCATTTTTCTTAACCAGCGGTGACAGCAATAGACACAAGTGGTATCGATACAATTAAAGAACTAAGAAAAATACTGGAGAAAAGATCACTCAAGGTATACCATCATAAAACCATGTTTTAGAAAAATAAAATAAAATTCTTCAAATTCTTGCAATTTGTTTTGTAAATAATTGGTGATTCCACTACAACTTTTTTTCTTTGCAGTTTGTCTTAGCAAATCCTGTTGGCAGTGTAATGGAAAAGCTGCATCAATCAAACATCTTGGAGTCCTTTGGTTTGGAAGGATTATATCTTACAGTCGGAGAAGCCGTGGCAGACATATCATCTCTGTCGAAGGCTCAACCTTAAACTGTGTTCATTATGCAGTACTCGATTTCAAATACTTCTTCTCAGAAAATGTAGAACATAGGGAGAGCTCTTTTTTTTTTTCTTTTTCTGCTTGCGAGAAGTTATTATCATTTGTTTGTATTGTGTGCAGTCAGTGTAAAATGTACTCTTAATCCAGTGTCCCAAGTCCAATTTAATACCACCGGCACTAGAAAGAGCAAAACTTACATGGAAGCAATGGAGTACTGATTGAGATGGAAAAGCATTTACAATGAAGTAGTTAGCTAGCCAGAGACGTCTACACGTCTAGTCCTTATAACTTATCGACAGAAGACTTGGTACTTCGAACATATTACGATACAAATTATGGAGTTCAAAACTTAATAACTAATAAGGAAATCTCCGTTTTCTCTTAATTTAAAACAAACAACAAACTTCAAAAGGTGAACTTGAAGAAGTTGTTGGGCACTTGTTGCCAAACAACCTTGGAGCGATGATGAATTGAAATTAATTGTCACTAGTTGAAGAAAATAAGTGACCCGAACATCGTACACCGAAACACTTGTTGACCCGATCCCAAAAATAAAAGTGTCGTTTGAGACTTTTAACACTTTTTTAAAAGTGTTGCTCACGACAACTTAAGTGAGAGGATCATGGCCCTTAGATCGTGATGAGATCATATGGTTGAGATTCGTCCTATATAAATATATGAAAACCTAACTTCACATTTTAACCTCTCATTATTTCACATCTACACACGGTTGCCTCTTGAGACTTGCTTTTGTGCTTTTTGTCTTTTAGTGACTTTTCTCCTTTCATTTTCTCCTCCTTGCTTCATTCTGCTTACTACTATTGTTGTGCTTCTCCTTCGTGGGAGAATTTGGTGTTCTAGGTGAATGAGTTTCATATCTTCTACCTGGTTTCAAGAGCCGATCCTCTTACTGTTAGATTTGAGATTGGGAAGGAGTGTTGAACGGTGTTTGTAGTGCAGTATTTAGGCAAAAACGGAGACTTAATAATTATAGATACATAATTGATGTCCACTAGCTCTTTTATATAGACTGTTGTCAATTTGGACTCCAAATTTGTGATTGAATCGTGAACGGTGTGAGTAAAATCCTTACAAACTAGATCAGAGCCTAGAATTATGTTATAGGGCTTAAAAATTGAAGAAAATCAATGGATCTTGTGCAAAATTTTGTGCTGGCGATTCAACATCCTTTCGGCAGCTAGTTGGCGCGACGTGTCGCGGTGCACGTCAACTGGACTTTGTGTTTTTTATGCTATTATGTATATTTTAATTCGGGAGCCGCTATTTATATTCACAATTTCTATATATATTACTTTTAAAAAGATAATTATATAATTATTTTTTAATTTTATGAAGATTTACTTAAATAAACATATATAAAATTAAATAAAAGTATATCATATTAAGTTTATCCACTAATATTTATTTTCATAAATTTTCTTGGATCTTTTTATATTCTTTTAGAATATGTGTTTAACTAAAACCCTAATAGTTATAAAATATTATTTTCAACTAAATTTAAACTAAAAAATGTAAATCTAAGCATTAAAAATGCTAAAAACTCGTCAGTTTGGCCACTTGAACTTTATAAACACCTGCAAATGGAGGCTTCAACCTCATTGCAAGTAATAATTCTGGGTATTGTTTTTTATGCCTTCTTTTTATGCTTTCAGGAATGAAATTAAGTCTTCTTCTTGAATGCTGTTAAAAATTCTTTCTCATGTAACGTCTAAGCTCAATTTTATACTCCATGTATGGATTCTACAATAAAATGGCATCCAGTGACTTTGGGCATTAGCTTGGTATGCAATTTACTGGGAGGAAAATAGAACATTTGAAGTATTGGTTTTAACAATTTTTTTTATGTGTTTCACTTTTCCTGGATGTGGTACTTCAAGTTACTCTTTACTAAGCAAACAGATTCATTCCATCGTGCAATCTTCTGCCTACACTTTTTGGAGGATTTGCAATTGATGTTTGGTACATTTCCGAGCTATTTGAAATCTTGTGAAACGATGCACCCTGAAGTTCTTTTTATATTTGAAGTAGTTTTCACTTATTTGCTACATATGAAACAATTTCCAAATGTGTCATGGTCATGGGAAACAACGCATCTTGTTGGGTTGTTAGAATTGGTACAGTCAGATTGAAGATTTTGGATTGAACAATTAGAACACTTGACCAAGTTCGATATGTTCCAGATTTAAAGAAGAATCTTATATCTTTGTCTATTTTTGATTCAAAGGGTTATGAGTTCTTTGGTGGAGGTGGAGTTTTGAAAGTTTGTAAGGGTGCCCGGCTATATTGGAGGGACAGAAAAGGTCTCGGTTATACATCTTGCAGGGTCGCGCAGAATTTGAAAGAGTCAATCAGCATAGGTTCAGTACCGTGGTGGACATTCAATTTAGTACAATACCTTTAAGAGCTCATAAATGGAATTTGAATACAGCACAGTAGAGTTTTGAAGAAATGGATAATACAGATTTGCCACTATCACCTATGGTGCCATTGTATTCGGTTGCTAGAGTTAGACCCAGTGGAACAAAGTATGTGGATGTTAATTTTATTGAACCTGCTTTAAGTGAAGAAAAATGTATTCAATCTAGCAAGGAGCCTTTGTTTAAAAGCATTTGGTATTTATTCTACTTTGGAGTGTGTTACAGCCCATTTTGGTTAATTCAAAATCATTATGATTTTTGGGACTCTAAGGTATTTCTACATAGTAGTGCTTGAATTCATTGTAAGATGTGGAGTATTGTGTTTTGTTGGAAAAATTAATTTTTTGTTATTATTGAAGAGTCAATAATTATGATTTTTTGGAATCTGAGGTAATTTTGTAGAGTAGTGCTTGGATTCATTTGGAAGAGGTGGAGTATTGTGTTTTGTTGGAGAAATTAAGTTTTTGGTTATTGTTGAAGAGCCGCTCATTTCTTGGTGGAATTCATGTCAAAGTGGAGATTGTTAGAATTTGGGTGTGATCCAAATTTCTTGTTGAAGTAATTGAAGAATTCTAATTGAAGTATACATCAAGAAGAATTCAGTTTGGAATGCTATTGGAGTCTTATGTCAAGTTGAAATTCTATTTTGAAAGCCCATTGGGAGTTGAATTCATCAACAACTCTACAAGAGGGTTTGGACATCCCCTACATGTTCCCTATAAATATTAGGCTCTTTTGTACAATTTTATAATGTGAGAAAATAGATTACTAGAATTATAGGATTCATTGTAATTATTTCTATTCTCCATTATTCTTGAGTCAATAAAATCTCTTAATTCATCTTCCATATTATTGTCTTCTTTATTTTTTTGCTTGATCAAATACTTTATTATTATTTGCCATATAACTTCAACATCTCAATCCGGTGGTGTTCCACAAAAATTGGCATCAGAGTTATTCTGCTATCTTGATTGTTTTGCAACATTTTGGATGCGAAAAGATAAAAAGCATTGCCCACCAAGTGAAATCTTTACCTTTGGAGTTATGATATAATCCCACAGGAAATTCCACAATGCAGCCAATTCTGTATAAGGAGGATCCAATCCCCTTGTTTGATAGAGATATATCAAAACCCGATGTCACAAGATCCATGCCGCTCAAAGTGCCACATTGGTGCATCCTTTATCGTAGGGATTCTACCTGGTAGCGATAAAATCAACTCGGCATTGATAAGTTTATTTTTACACACTTATCCATGCTATAAACCTGGTAAATAATTACTAATTGAACGAATTTCTACCTAATTTAGTGTAATTATATTAATTGTAGGTAAAACCTGGATGTCGATGTATTTGGAGCGAAAAACAATGAGTGTGAGCTTATATGGAACAATTGAAATCTAACTAAAATGCATGTGATTGATAAGAAGTATTAAGAGAACATTTGAAGAAATCCACAAGTTTCGGGAGTGAAATTATATGCTTTCAGAAATTGTGAAGGTCTAGTTTCGAATAATTATGGATGTTCTTGGACCAACACGATTGCTTTCGGAAGTTGTGGGATCAATATTGAAGATTTGTGATAGTTGTGATTTCTACACCGATTCGGACCGTAAAAAAATGTTGGAATTAACTGATAAAGTGTTAAATAATTAAATGAATCTCCGTTTTCTCTTAATTTAAAATAAACAACAAACTTCAAAAGATGAACCTGAAGAAAAGGTGAACCTGAAGAAGTTGTTGGGCACTTGTTGCCAAACAACCTTTGGAGCGATGATGAATCGAAATTAATTTTCTCTAGTTGAAGAAAATAAGTGACCCGAACATCGTACACCGAAACACTTGTTGACCCGTTCCCAAAAATAAAAGTGTCGTTTGAGACTTTAAACACTTTATCAAATTGTTGCTCACCACACTTAAGTGAGAGGATCGTGGCCCTTAGATCGTGATGAGATCAAATGATGGTTGAGATTTGTCCTATATATGATATGATATGATAACCTAATTTCACATTCTAACCTCTCATTATTTCACATTTACACATGGTTGCCTCATGAGACTTGCTTTTGTGCTTTTTGTCTTTTAGTGGCTTTTCTCTCCTTCATTTTCTCCTTCTTGCTTCATACTGCTTACTAATATTGTTGTGCTTCTCCTTCGTGGAAGAATTTGGTGTTCTAGGTGAATGAGTTTCATATCTTCTGCCTGGTTTCAAGAGCCGATCCTCTTACTGTTAGATTTGAGATTGGGAAGGAGTGTTGAAGGGTGTTTGTAGTGCAGGATTTAGGCAAAAACAGAGACCTAATAATTATAGATATATAATTGATGTCAACTTGCACTTTTATATAGATTGTTGTCAATTTGGACTCGAAATGTGTGATTGAATCGTGAAGGGTGTGAGTAAAATCCTTACAAACTAGATCAGAGCCTAGAATTATGTTATAGGGCTTAAAAATTGAAGAAAATCAATGGATCTTGTACAAAATTTGGTTGAAATCGAGTTTGGGAGACAGGAGAAAATCGACGGATCTTGTGCAAAATTTTGTGCTGGCGATT